AAATTATAAGTTAAAAAACTTATAATAGAGAAAAGAAAAAAATTTAGAATTTATTAGAATTTGTTCAAACTTATTAAAGAAGAAAAAGAAATTTAGAACTTATTTTGCTTTGAAAAAATAGCAAAGTTTATATAGATATAACTTTTTAAATATTATAGAATAAGAACTTAAACTTAGAAACCTTAATATAGGAATCTAGTTTAAGAACCTAATTTTAGAAATCTTGTTATAAGAACCTACTATGAGAACTTACTTTTGAGAACCTAATTATGAGAATCTAGGTTGTAAACCTTAAATAAGAACCTCAAGTTAGATACCTTAGGTTAGGAACTCTTAGATAGAAACCTTGAAATAGGATTCTTTAGATGGATATTTGATATTATACAAACTTTGAAAAAGTAATTTTACTTGAATTAGAAAGTTTAGTATAAATAAGTTATACTAAGTTATACAGAGTTATACAAGGTATTTTGCAGCTTGTTATTATACAGAAAATGTCTAAATAGTTTAATATTAATAAAAAATATTATGCTAATAAAATATAATTAATAGAATTTAAATAATAAAATTTAACTACTAAAAATCCATATTATAACAATATAATAAGATATACAAAAATTAGATAATAATAGAATATCTAGTAGTACAAGACTAAACTCAGATATATTAAGTAAAATGTAAGTTACAGAATTTATAGATAGTCTAATCAAAAAGATAACAGAAATTTATAGCAAAAAATATTACTCAACAAAAGCAACTCTGTAGAAAGTCTAGCAGATAATATAGATGATATGGTAACAAAAACAATACTAATTGATAAAATAATTGTTACTACAGCAAAGCAATAGAGAAAGGTTATTGAAAGAGCAGCAATTTTAGAAGGTATCAATAAAGAGACAATAGTAAGACAAGAAGAGCTATATTTACAAGTGCAAAAGTTGATATAAAAGTAATCAAAAAAATAGAAATGAAAATAGAAGCAAAAACACATAATTCTTCAAATCCATATAACTAATTTAAAAAATTTTCATCGAATTTTGAGTAGTTATCGAAATATCTTCACTCAAAATTTTTTATTAATTGATGTACACAATGTTCCACAGAACTGATGACAAAAAATATTATACTTGTCCAATTTTTATAGCATATTTAGTTCAATAAAAACTTTGATAATGACTTTCTTATCAACAAATAGAACTGCATTGGAAGTGTAAAAAGAAGTTCTGTACATAAGTGAGATTATCTTAATAAATGTATTATAGGAGTAGGTAGATGTTAACAAAAAAGGTCAAATTTAACAATTTAGAAAATTGATTTCATAGTTTGAGATTACAAGACTTTAATAATATTTCTCGAACATGTTTTGATAATTATAATTAATATCGAAATAATTATTTTATTTATTTGAAACATATATTTATTAATAATAAACTTTATACTGTAGCGCAAAAAAATGATGAATTGTTGAAATGATAGATTAATAAGAAGAGAACCTTTGAGTTATTCATACGTAAAAATACGTATTCTATGAGTTTTATCTGATAAATAGCATTTACGTATGAGAGTAACGTAGGATGTTAAACCGTTGAAAACGAGCCATTTCAATTACAAACTGGCAGTTAATGACTTAAACTAGTTATACGAAACTGTTTATTAAAAAATTGGTAAAACTAGAGCTAGTTAAAATTAGAGATACGTATTAAACTGATTGACAAGAATTTTATTGGTTTAAAAATTAAAAATATTTCATACGTAACAAGTAAATGTTTCTATAAGTTTAAAAAAAATTAAACTAGTTCTTATATAACGCAAAAAAATAAAATTATTGTTTATGATGTTCAATAAATAGACGTGATAAACAAACTAGTTCAGGTGGTATTCAAATGATAACAGCTTTAGTCCCGAATTGAGTCATTGTAGTTATTTCCAAACTACTTAACATCCCTACTTTAAATATTTTTGAATAATGCGAATATTCGATAGAATCGACAGGACTATTATTAAAACTTAGTTACGATAACCGTCAAAATTAACAAGTTTCTCCAAAACTTCTCTTAAATGCTTTTCATGACTTAATAATTTCTCTCTTAAATATTTTGTACCATCGTCTTCTTTAACCAACTCGTCGATTGATCCATCTTTATCATTACTCAAAATAAATGATTCCATTAATTTTTCTTCAACAAGTTTACTAAATTCATCAATAAATTTGTGAATTATCGTCATAGAAATTACGTCAACGTAACGTTTAATTGCAATTTTCAAGTATGCCATAACTGATGCTACGACTTCTAAAGTATCTGTTGGGCTTTCATTATTATCTTTTACACCCTGATGAAGTTCGCTTAAATATTTCGCTTTTGATTCTATCATCGTTTGCTCATCAAGCGTAAACTTATGAGCGTTTAGTTCCATTTGATACATAAAGTTTATTCTCTCTGCTGTTTGTTTTCTACATTCTTCAAGCAAATCTAGGGTCTTACCTCTTAAAATATATTTGAAAAGACATCAATTTTAAAACATTATTATAATTTATCGTAAATTAATAAAGAATAATCCTTACCTCACATTTCCTACTAAATTAGGAAATCTTGAAAAGATATCTTTTACGGCCTTACACACCAAATCTTTCATAATTTTGTAAATGCCATCTAAGCAATTTATGGCAGGTTCCTTCCATTTAATTTGATTTTCTTGAATAATATTCCGTACAGCCGAATATGGGATGAACCCGGGGAGTAATCTTCCGCGAGAATTCTTAATTGTTTCAGCGAGTTGACTTTCGGTTATTTGTTGAGTAATATTTTTTGCTATAAATTTCTGTTATCTTTTTGATTAGACTATCTATAAATTCTGTAACTTACAT